TTTGATTAGTATTTGTCTTGGACATTTATAGATATGGGACTATTTTGATTAATATATGACAGGGACTTTTGTATATGCATGTCCTTTTTGATTAGTATATTTCTTGGACATTTATAGATATAAGACTCTTTTGATTAGTATATGACAGGGACTTTTGTATATGTATGTTCCTTTTGATTAGTATATGATAGAGACTTTTGTATATGTATGTTCCTTTTGATTAGTGTATATCTTGGACATTTATATATATAGGTCTCTTTTCACTAGTATATGACAGGGACTTTTGTATATAAATATGTCTCTTTTGATTATTACATGGCAGTGACTTTTGTATATGTATATACCTTTTGATTAGTATATGTCTTGGACATTTATACATATGAGACTCTTTTGATTAGTATATGACAGGGACTTTTGTATATATAAGACTGTTTCCATTAGTATATAATAGGGACTTTTGTACACATAATTATATTAAGATCATATGATTTTGATATGTTATTCACTTTCATTATAATTGTTTATTAGGTGCAAAACATAAATTAGTATTAATTTTGTAGAGAGAAATAAAAAAAAATCGATGAAAAAGCAATTTCGTAGAAAATTGAGGCAATAGTTTTCGATGGAATTTCATTCATTTTCCGTTGAAATTTCTTGACGAAAATTGTTTTCAATCGAAAATTAATGCAAGATTTTTCGACGAAATTTCATTCATTTTTCGTCGAAAATTTTCGACAGAATTTATATTCCTTCGAAAATCATTACAATTATGTCTCTTTTGATTATTACATGGCAGTGACTTTTGTATATGTATATACCTTTTGATTAGTATATGTCTTGGACATTTATACATATGAGACTCTTTTGATTAGTATATGACAGAGACTTTTGTATATATAAGACTATTTCCATTATTATATAACATGGACTTTTGTACACATAATTATATTAAGATCATATGATTTTGATATGTTATTCACTTTCATTATAATTGTTTATTAGGTGCAAAACATAAATTAGTATTGATTTTGTAGAGAGAAATAAAAAAAATCGATGAAAAAGCAATTTCGTAGAAAATTGAGGCAATAGTTTTCGATGGAATTTCATTCATTTTCCGTTGAAATTTCTTGACGAAAATTGTTTTCAATCGAAAATTAATGCAAGATTTTTCGACGAAATTTCATTCATTTTTCGACGAAAATTTTAGACAAAATTTATATTCCGTCGAAAATCATTACAATATTTTTTGATGGAATTTCAATCATTTTCCGTCGAAAATTTTCGATGAAAATTGTTTTTGTCAAAAATTAATACAAGATTTTTTGACAAAATTTTATTCATTTTTCGTTGAAAATTGTTTTCCGTCGAAAATTAATACAAAAATTGTCGATGGAATTTCATTCATTTTCCGTCAAAAATTAATACATGATTTTTCGACGAAAATTCATTCATTTTTCATTGAAAAATTTCAACATAATTATTTTTTCGTCGAATCTTTCCACAAAAATTATTCCATCGAAAATTATCTACGGAAATTAATTCCATCGAAAATTTTCTACTGATATTATTTTTGTCAAAAAATTTCGACGGAATCTCAAATTCCGTTGAAAAATTTGTTACCCACAAAGAGATATTCAATGACTTCATTTTCGTCGAAAATGAGACTTTTCATTTTCGACGGGATTTTTTCGTCGAAAAAATTGCATTTTTCAGTAGTGTCATAAGATTAAAAAATTATGATGATTAAGACTAATATAACTCTGCAATATATTAGAATTACAAAAATATTTGATTTTCGTCCCAAAACGATGTCGTTTTGGCCTCACCGAAAATAACTTATCTCCATTGACTGAAGAAATCATTTATCCATAGTTTTATGATTTTAATAGTTTTATAGTTTCTGTTATTATAAAAATATTTTTAAAATTATTAAAAAATTTGGGGTTTTACCCGTCCTAAACCTCCTTTTGCCTTCCTGGGATGTCAAGGAACGATCTTCCTGGGACAAGATCGATCATGATTCTCTTACGTAGCATTGCTCGCTCTTCCATTGCATCTCCAAACGACTCTTGACAGCCTCCTAATCCCTTGTGGAGGAGCTCTCCCCTCCTCGATGGGGACCTTCACACATGTTAATAACCATACACTGTCTATCACCAAACCCTAATAGAGCCCTAGGTTTCTCCTATACGCACTTTTTTTCTTTTTTTTGGTACAACTCCTATATGCACTTTAAATCAACTTCGTCGTGACATTTAATGAATTGGTTTATTTTTCTTGAACTGTTAAATAATAGTCAGAATTGAACATGACACTGCTATACTTTAGATATATTGAATTATGTTTCATATTTCACAAAAAAATATTTATTTATAAATTAATTAATATAAAATATTGAGTAAATACCCATTTTAGTCCCTAACAAAAAACACGATCTCCACTTTAGTCCCTTACAAAAATAAATTAGTCATTTAGTCCCTAACAAATTCAAAGTAAACCCATTTAGTTGAAATCGTAGTCCCTCACAAATTCAAAAAAGACCCACATTAGTCCCTCAAAAGGACTAAAATGGATTCACCTTAAATTTGTTAGGGACTAACTAACTAATTTATTTTTATAAGAGACTAAGATGGAGACCATATTTTTTTGTTAAGGATAAAAATGATATTTACTCTAAAATATTTTTGTTCAACGTACGGTTGAACGCTAGTATAAATGAATATCTTATTTTATTCATTACCTATCGATAGCGGTCTTAGATAAAATCGCCTGCTTCGTGGACAAAGAATAAAATAGTGAACGTATAACTTAAATCTAAACGCATCAAATTCTAGCGCTTTGGCAAAGTACTGGAGTACACATGTCCAAAGTTTTTCCAAAATCAGTATCCTTAACCCTAAAGCAACTTTTGTCCGTAACTGTTGAGGGTACTACCGGTGATTTTTCATTTTCTTCTGTAAGAGAAAGGGAAAAACATTATCTGTTTTGGTAAATGTTTTTTTTAAAAAAAAAATTAATTTCTGTTTCAAAAACAGAAATCATTAGACAAAAAAAAAATCTGAGAGAAAAACCATAAAGAGAGAGAAACCATAAATATGATGGTCAATCCATTTTTTTTCTCCGAGTCAAATAAAAAATTTCTATCTTTGAAGCAAAAATCATTTCTCCTAAATAATATGTCGAAAAAGTTAAAAGTTTCTACTCGAATTACGCAACTAGAATACTCCCACAGTAAGTTCATCTTGTTGGACCTCTATCTTTATTCTTTTTCAATGACTTAAATTAAGTGTTAAATGATCCATGTACATAATCACATGGTCAAATTCTGCAGAGTGATAAAACAGTGTCACCTTCTTGTTTTCTTGAAGGTACCTCATGCATAAGGGATTGTCTGAGACGTTATTGTTATTATTTTTTTGGTAATCTTCTGAGACGTTATTTTTATTAATATATCAATATTACCATTATTTATTTATTGATCTTTGTGAATTAATTAAATTTTAAATTAAATTAAAAAATAAATAAAAATTTCAAGTGTCTTTTTTTTGTATTAAATTTCAAGTATAAAAATGCAAGTATCTCTGAATAGTGAAAGAGAGGTAATAATAGCAGAAATATGCTGCTGCGGCCTGCAGTGGAGTGCATCTCTGGAACACGAGATCATTTTCTTTATATTAGTACTAGGTATATTTATCATTCAACAAGTAATATTTGAATAAAAATATATTTTTCTTTTTTTTTTATATAAATATCACAATTATTCCTCAATTTTTTTTTTGACTAGATACATTACACAAATGAAATAATTGTGGTACTTAAAGTGGTGTTTGGATTGGAGCTTTTTAAGAGATATCTATATTTCTCAAGTATGGCTTTTAGAAACACCATGTTTGTTTCAACATATTTTCACCAAAAACACATCTATCCAATTTGTATGGATTTATGAGAAACATAGATATCCGCACCGTTTAGAAACCCAGTTTGAATGTGAGATTTTTTAGAAAATCGGTTATCTCACTTTTAATGCACTGTTGATTTCATAAAAGTTACCTAATTTTTCCAGTAAAGTTTTTCTCCACCAAATAACTTTTTTTTACATTTTTCTAGCTATCTCACTTTATCTCAATTTCCAATCATTTCTTTATCTATTACATTTTCCTACTATTCCAAAAAAAAATTCTCAAACCAAACGCCCCTAGGTGGTGTTTGGTTGGGAGCTTTTTAGCGGATATCTATCTTTCTGAAGTATGGCTTTTAGAAACACCATGTTTGTTTCAACGTTTTTCACCAAAAACCCATCTATCCAATTTGTCTGGATTTATGAGAAACATAGATATCCGCACTGTTTAGAAACCCAATTTGAAGGTGGGATTTTTCGGAAAACTGATTATCTGGCTTTTAATGCAATGTTGATTTCATAAAGTTACCTAATTTTCCCAGTAAAGTTTTTCTTCACCAAACAACTTTTTTTTACATTTTTCTACCTATCTCACCTTATCTATCTTTCCAATCATTTCTCTATCTATCTCATTTTTTTACTATTCCAAAAAAATTTCCTGAACCAAACGTTCCGTAAATATTTTCCTGAAACACAGACATCGTTTTGTAGGGTCCACCTAATGGGAATCTGCACAGCAAGTAACAGAATGGGACCTCTTTTGGTCATTTCATACCTGTTCATTACCCCTCCAAAAAAGACGATCCCTCTCACCTCAAGACGACCAAGAAAATTCCAAATCCCATCACCACCAGTCCACCACAACGCTTTTTATTTTCCACTTTGTAGAATTATTTCTTGTTCTTCACTTCACAAGTTTTGGACTTTAAGAGTCTGAAATTTATTTGCTGGTACTATGCATTTTTTTTATTTTTTTTTTAATACTTCTCAATAATCATTGCTTTCCGACATAATTGTTTCTCATATTTTTTTTCATCATTTCATTCTTATTTTAGGAACATAACCACATATAGAGAGACAAATATTAGCGTCTGGTGCAAAAATGATTGAAGAAAGTGGTTGCTTTGATCCCAATGCAATGATGGTACTGGGCACAGGAGTAGCAGGCCCATCAGAAGACTGCTTCGCCCAAATCGTTTCAGAGTCAGACCCACCACTTCAGGCAGTTATGACTGGCACTGGCACTGGCACTGGCACAGAGATCCAAAACAGCTTTGCAGAGAATGTGGGTATTTCTGCGGAAAACTTATCATACCCATATTCCTGTGGAGAAGATGTTATAATTGCTACCGGTACCCTAACAAATAGAGTTGATGCTACCGCTGGCACCCGAATGGATGCACATCCACAACAAATGGGTTTTCACATGGAAAATCCATACCATCATAGCAATAACTTCAACAGTACCCATTTAGTGGAAGAGGTCAATAACAATCATGTTTCAAGTCAGGACCTTTCCTTTGACCAGTCCAACTGGGACAAATATCAAAGGGTTTCCAACAGTCACCATCACCAAAATCACCATCATCATCATCAGCAATTATCTTATCCCGCATCAACACCAGATCTCCTTAACCTTCTCCACTTACCCAGAAGCCCAGCTTCTCCATTTGGGAACTCCTCTATCTCTTTTGAAAACCCAACCCACAACACCACCAATCTTTCAAAACCCACCTCTGGCCATGCCACCTGGGTTGGTAACTGTCCTATGGGGCCTGACAGTACAAACGGGTCATCTGTTTCCTATGACCCTTTCTTGCATTTGAACCTGCAAGTACCTCCGCCAGCTGTAAACAGAAAGTTGTTTCAGCCTCTACCCCATGGCTACACCATGACAGCTTCAAGAAATGATTTTGTCTTTAGCGGAGGGGATGACATACAAGGTAGTGGGGTTGCCTATCAAGATGGAGATGGGAGAGATTTTGATAATGGAGTGCTAGAGTTAACCAAGGATGTGGCTTATGTAGGTAAAAAGAGAGGAGGGAAAAGGACCAAGCATTTCACCAGTACAACTGAGAAACAAAGGAGAGTGGATTTGAGTAGCAAATTTGATGCCTTGAAAGAACTCATCCCAAACCCTTCCAAGGTACTATTTTTCATCCCAATGTGTTTCTCAAATGACAGTTTCTTTGGTTATGCATAAATTGTTGACCTTGCTTTATTTTTATTTTTTTGGAAAACAAGAGTGATAGAGCATCTGTGGTGGGAGATGCTATCGACTATATTCGAGAGCTTCTAAGGACAGTGAACGAGCTCAAATTATTGGTTGAGAAGAAAAGGCACGAGAAAAAAAGGATCAAGGGGCACAAGCTTGAAGAAGGAGCCACTCAAGGTGACTTGGAGGGCTGCAACTTGAAGCTGGTTGCAATTGGCGACCCAGATGACCGCTCCTTAAATGAAAGCTTAAGAAGTTCTTGGATCCAAAGGAGATCCAAAGACACTGAAGTTGATGTACACATTATTGACAATGAGGTAACAATAAAGCTTGTTCAAAGGAAGAAAATCAATTGCTTGGTGTATGCTTCACAGGTTCTGGAGGAATTTAAGCTGGATCTCCAGCATGTTGCCGGTGGCCACATTGGCGATTTCTGCAGCTTTATGTTCAATGGCAAGGTCTGTATAGATATGGGTATTTGAATTTCATGTGTTTTCTTTTAATATGCTTAAAATATATATATACATGTATGTATGTGTGTGCGCGCGTTTTGGTATATAAAAGTATGAATTTTTCTCCTGAGGCAGATATGTGAAGGTTCCTCAGTTTATGCGAGTGCCATAGCCAACAAGCTCATTGAGATCATCGACAGAAGTTTGACAGCAGCGTGACTCAGGTGTCATTTGAGATGGCTTCAGCACCAATGTGTTCTGTGAATCTTATTATGTAGCTACTGACTTGTACTGCTTTTTCCTTCTTTTCTATTTGTATTCCTTAAATTTTTTTACCTGTAGGTTTGAAATCTTTTCAACGAATAGGACTATATAGTTGAAAACAGGAACTATATCTTAGTTCAAATGGTGTTCTCCTACTCTTAAAAATCAAAGAATGTTAGCGAAATATGTGTATATGGCAAACCAAAGTATGATATATGACGGTAAACGGTGCTTTATATATTCTCACACAACGAATTCACGGTGGGACAAAAGCAAATTTTTAAACAAAATAATTTTATACAAATTACAATCAATTTTATTTTATTTGACAAAAGCTAATTGGCATAATTGTCCACAGAACAATCTAGATAAAATCAAGAAGCAATAAGGAAAGAAAAACCAAACTCTGTTCATCAAACCAACCCACATTTTCATTTTGGTTATTTTGTAAAACCCTAATTAAATTCCTAATATTTTTTTTAGTTTTTATATCCTTTTTTTTAAAGAAATAAAATCATTTTTACTATTTTCAGCACATATAACCTAAAATATTTACTGAACACAAAAAAAAAATTCCAAAGACCAACATTAAATCCAAAACAACCAAAAAGTTTGATCTATGATAACATAATCAGACCTAAAGACAACCTAAATCCATATTTAAACCTTATACCGAGAGAGAGAGAGAGAGAGAGAGAGAGAGAGAGAGAGAGAGAGAGAGAGAGAGAGAAACATAAATTGACCCAAACCGGGAACAACTCACCAGTACATTAATGAGAAAAGTCTAAATAATCATTAAAAAAAAACTAAGTAAACAAGAGAAAGGAAAATAAATAGTGTGTTTTATTTGTTTAAAAATCAAGGTGACAAAAATGGTCATTTGTGTTGTAAAATATATATTTTAATATGTGGATGACCTTTGGCCTTTTATATGCTTTATGATGTGTGGATGACTCTTTGATTTCTCTTGATTTTTGATATACCATGAAACCACCACGCTAATTGTATATTGAAGTGCAGTTACTATAACACCTCGTTCTATAACTGGTTTGTTACCATTACATATGATATTGAATGCAGTTACAATCACAACTTTTGAATTAAAATATGGCTTAACTTTTTCATTTTCAAAACATAATGTTTACTGCTTAAAATATTTTTCGTATTCATAAATAATTTGAACTGTAATTATAACTCAACTAAAATGCAGAATATTTAAATCTAGCTTAACATCTCATACAACCATTATAAGACGCCACCTTGAGGTTCCTATACACTACATGGCTTCAAGAACCCCAATATTGGTAGTTAATCATACAATTGTTGCAATCTCCTACCAACATCGTCAAAACAAAATAGACAACACTCCATTTGTGTTTCGGACAATTGGGGACGAATCTCACTACAATAATCTCAACCTGATAAACAGTTTACTACCATATACATACAGTCCCAATTTATCAATTAAGCATACAAGCCCTTCTATCATAATATGTCCATAAGCATTACATCAATGTTCCAAAATATACAATATTTACAAAACTACATCAATGGGACTTAGCTAATACAAAACACATGATCAAAGTACTTCCATGATACCTCAACATGAAAGGTACAAAGAATGGTGATCATATACCAAATATGACTATAAAATATCTACATATAATCCTCCACATAGTGCATCTCCAAAACATATGATGCTCCACAATTCTACTTAAGCCTGTTGCCCTGGGATGGTCCAGTACCCTCAGTAGTAGTACCTGAAATGTGATCCCCCAAACACAGGGTGAAATAAAAATCTCGTAAACCAAAGGGTCTTGGAGGGTCACTCCACCCAATAGTTCTCTCAATGTGCATATATAATAATAACAGAAAAATAAATCATCCATCATACGATTATCCAAAACTTCTTCATGGAGGTCATAATACCATACCCATGGGGATGCCACACACCAACTCGTGGAAGTCATATTACCATACCCCTAATGGAGGTCGCACAACCATACCCATTCGTGGAGGTTATTTTACCATTCCCATGGAAGGTTCCAATAACAATCATCTACTGGCCAGAAAGCGTAAATACACATAGCATACTATACATATAGGTGTCATATCCAACCAATACATGATGAGCATAGTATTACAACCATTATCATAAATCACATCATCCAACCATTCCTCCCAATGGAGCATGGTGGAACACACAAGGGGATTACTAGAAGTTTACCTTTTGAAACTTCACAATCAAGCTTACTTGTAATCCTAGAAAGCTAGTCACTTTCTTCCAATTATTGATCCTTCAACTCAATGTCCTTTGACTCCAACCTAGATCATAGACCAATCATAAACCAACACCTTGTAGGTTACATTTGAAGTGTGAGATACCAATTTCAACCCTTTATTACATCTTCATAATTTCGAATAAGGTGATCAACTCAGTTTATTCATATTTTCCTTATGTTATAACATTACGTAACACTTTTACATGCCAATATATGCCAACGCACAAGTCATATCTAATAATTCATAATTATCAAAGTACGACTGCACTTCATATTTATTTTTAACTAAGTCAATGACCTAGATTTCACACTCATTACATTTGAAATGACATAGGAAATATCTTTGAAGTCTCACGCATCATTTTTACAAGTTTCCAACCATAATCATCCTACATTCACCAAGTTCCCAAATGACCAACAATTTAGTTTATTTAACATCAAGTGATCCAATAACTAGTAACTATCACAAATGTCAAATTATACACTTCAAACACTTAACTTATCTTTCAAGGCAAGGCCTAAATGGTATCTCAGAGGTTCATTATATGTTCTCATGGTTCAAATGACTAATCAATTAGTCTAATTACCTCACTTAGCCAATAGGTTACACACATTACTCAAATATAATTTAACACCCTTCCCACACCATTTTCCTTTCAATGGCCGAAAATACATGTAAAGGGTTCCATGAGTTTGCTTTCTTTTATCCATTAAACAATTCATCATAGCCATTAACAAAGCAAGGCTATCAAATCTTCTACACCCACTTTCTACTCATATGGCCTAAATGGTGACTTAGGCCATTTTCTACATTTTTATGCCTTCCTTACTCAACCACTAGTCCATTTTACATTACACTAATCCGTATACATCAATCAACAACAAAACACTTAAAACACAATTCCAATACAATCAACTACATGGTGGCCGGAAATGGGACAAGGAGTTCATGCAATTTTTTACAAGTTTCCAACAATCTCTACATAGACCAAACAACTCTAAAATTATCCAAAGGCAATATCAAACATCCAAACCAGCCTATCATCAACATTTTCCAACCATGAACACTAAGGAACTTAATACATTTTCATGACCAAAATCAAAGTGTTTTAAATGGTTTTTTTTTTTTCCTTTATCAAGAGACATTTTTAAGTATAATAACTCTCACTATCAAGTTATGTTAAACAAGGAATCAAGCAAGTATTAAGGAAATCAAGTTTTTGTTTAAGGAATTAATGACAAGTTAATCATGTGATCCACATGATAACGAGTATATGGATACAATTCATGCCTAACAAGTCAAGTAGGAACTAAATAAGAGTATGTTATATGTGTGGGACATAGACATCTTTTAGTGAAGGTTTATGGCAATTTAGTAATTTGGCAAAACTTAAAACATAACTCCATAATTTTTCCTTGTCATAGCGGAATCATAGCATGATGGGATCATTGGCTTCACAAGCTTTTTAATAGCTATTACATATTCTATTTCACCTTACATTAACCAATGACCACTAACCATCATCAAAATCAAATTAAACAACATAATTCAACACTTTTACCAAGCCTCAAAATTTCGAATATAATGTTATGGTTGGGCTTCATTTTTCCTCACTCGCATATTATTTCTCATCACATTTGCACATCAATTCATGCCAAAATTCAAGTCATGACCATATTACACACTATTCATAAAATGACCAAGTCTATGAAATTTTCCATAAATCAATAAAGGAAGTAAGGTTTTCTTACCTTAAAACACTTGAAATGACCCTAAAATTGCATTTCAAGCTTCATCCACAGTTTACCAAACACCTAAGGCTCACTTTCAAAGATGACCAAAATCATGACCTATTGGTTCCATCACCATTCCAAGCTTTCCAATGATTAACATTTGGTAGTTTTCAACACTAAACCAATCAATGAACACGACCAACATCAAAATCCAAACATCTAACCATGATCATCAAACCCATATTTTCATGAAAACTCTAATCATGAAGACTAAGAATCAAGAGGGTAAACTTAAGTTTCTCACCTTAAAACTCCAAGAAATCAAGCTACCATCTAGTTTCCATGACAAAGTGCATAAAATCATCCATGGCTTCAACATCATCATAGTCGAAATCTTCACCTCCAAATATCTTCTCACACAAGGCCTCTCTAGTTAAACAAAGTTGTGTGGGTTTCCTTCCTTAGGTCAAGAGCTTCATCTTTTGTCAAAGGACCTACGGATTTTAGTGAAGGAATCAAAGGTGTGTGAGCTTGGTTCTTTCCAAAAATGGTGGTCAACCAACCTGCTTGTGAGGGGGCTGTTATGTACCGAGGAAGAAGATGAAAGCTACTAAACATTTCCTAAGTTAAAGTCTTAAGTCATAAAAGACAAAGCTTTGACTTAGTCAACCTTTAGAATTTTTAAAATTTGCTATTTAGTCCTCCAATTTCAACTAACTATAACTTAAGCTAGAAAAGGATTCAACTCTTACTAATCACATTTTTTCTTGAAATTTCATATTATGCCATTATTTTTAAGTTTAGAGCAACTTTATCTTATTTGCAATTTGGTCCCTAAACTTTTCATAATTGCACTTTGACCCCTATACTTTTTCATATTTATATTTTAGTCCGCAAATGACTTGATTGGCAAGAATTGAATTCTTATCCATATTTATC